AACTACGCCAACTACGTCCGAATCTCATGATAAACTATACAATGTCTGCGCTTAGCTTGTTTATTGATTGACATAATCTTTTCAAGTCAAGCTCGGTTATTACCTGAAATGATTGTTATCAAATTCTAACCTTTTGTTAGAATGTCAAGAGATGGGTTTGAAAAACTTTAGTATGATGTCTGGTATTTGCTTGTTTGCTATAGTATAGTTAAATGCTCTTGAAACTGTCAAGTTCCATGATGAAACATTTCTAATTCTATTTGTAACATTGTACTGCTCCTTTGGTTTAGCTAAATTTGCGTCTGGCTTCTCTAAGCAAACAGAACATGAACTCTTTTTAACTGTTGGTAGAGACACATTCTTTAACCCTTATATTGACATGTATTGCTGGCAGTAACTGTACTAGCTGTAGCCAAACTAAGACACACATTAAATAAATTTCAGTTCACAAACTTCAGTGCATGTAATTCGTCGTTTGTTTGTCCATTATTTTCTGTAATGTATATAGTAATACGATTGTGTAACGAAAGATGGAAAAGCTTCCTGCAATTTTGGTTGTCTTGTTTGGTTCCATGAATTTAACATACTGTGATGCTGTGCATTGAACAGGTAAAGTATCTGAGATGGGAAAATCGGTGGCTCTAAATAGAAGACTAGTTTCTCGTTTGATGGATTTCGGTCACCAGCATGATTAAAGTTGTATTGATTATACAATAAAGTTTACTATTTAACTGGATGATCTCAGTTTACACTTTCTTATAATGTTTATTATAATGTTTGAGAACTATGAGTCTATGATAATAAGAAACATAGTTCAAAGTCTCATGATCTCTTTTCACCTGTGAATAATCAAACAAAACTAACCAATTCTATCTACTTGACCTGCTTATCTTAAAACATGTAATCTAGAATCTAACCAAGGGGAAGTTAATAATTAACAGCAAATCAAACTTAAATCTGAAAGAATACAATATATTTGATTTCAATGGCCATACGATATAAGACATGAAGAACTCTTGGAGCCTTTGGTTCCTCTGTCATCGAACTTAGATATAGATGGCTTCCTACGATCGTCCGATAAGTGCCATCGGAGAGCGTGGTACATGAGGTGAGTGTGAGATTCGTGTTGGCTACAGGATTGGCATCAGACATCTTGGTGCGTTCAAGGAAATCCGAAATATAATATTCTAGTAAGAAGTAGACCCGGGGTTGAGCGTGTAGCTTCTATTTGGAAGAGAAACAGTTGCTTAAGATGTCAATAAATTGTTGAATCTTGTATCATTCATGACCGGTGGTGATAATGCCGTCTACAAAGAGCAGGACATGGAGAAAAACATAGCCGGTACGAATAAAGATGTGTCAGTCAGAGCATTGGTGAAGCTAAATTCCAAGAGGAAGGTCCGCAGCTAACTAACGGTACCAATCACGAAGAGCTTGCTTGAGGCCATATAGTGCTTTGCGAAGTTTGCAGACATAACCGATTTTATCCTTGTCATTAAGCAGGTTAAACCATTTGAACATCGAGTTAAACCATATAAATATCCCTGCAAAAAAAAATATTGTTGACATCAAGTTGCCTTAGAAGCCATCCTCGTGTGACGATAATATCAAGTACTAACCGAATTGTAGTGTGTTTGATGACTGGTTTGAATATTTGGTCTTTGGTGAACACCTTTGGCAACGAAACGAGCTTTAAAAAAATTTACCAAACCATCAGTATTCCGCTAAATCCAAAAGATCCACTGTTGCCGATGAAGTTGTACTCCGGTTTTGGTGGAATTATTTCCCAAGTGTGATTCTGGACTTCAGCGAAACTAGAATGAGTCTTAGATTGCCCTGATTCTGATACCAAATTTACAGACATATAGTGAATACAACCACAAATGAGGCTTATTAAGCTTACATATGTATTAGTTTCATGTTGTTTTCATCGACAAGCTAGTACAAAAAGTATGTTCAGTAGTTGCCACCTAGTGAATCATTCACACCAGAAATCCTACCAAGCTAAGAACAAAAGAATATAGAGAAAAACTCAAGAGGTCATAATGCTGAAAGTACTTTGAAACTCCAAACAAAGAAGTATTGTCTTGGTTATAGAGCTAAAACACCTCATTATTGGGCTTTCCTCAATATTCTTATAACCTACTGTATAATGAAAAACAACTATTTGTTTGATATTATTTCCAAAAATATATAAGATATAAAGCATGATATCTTGGTCTCTGATCTCAATATACACTATGGAAAGTACATCTTCTTTAATAAACCCAACTCCTTTTAGAAAATCAACCTTCTATAAATAGATTACCTCTATGAAATAAAATATGTGAGTGCAGATAGTAAAATCTCAAACATCCAATTACTCTTACTCAATTCATATAAAGATTTCACAAAACCGAACTCCACCTTCCCAAAAGTCATAAAACAAGTGTTTGGTCCTAACAAATGGAACAACATTTGGTTCCAGCAATGAAAATAGAGCAGATGATCACTCTCCACATTAATGGGATGATTCACCAATGGAGAATTCATGTCTACACTCACATATATTATGGAGCAATACAGCTGGCATTGATTCTTCATGGAAGAATCGCTTTACTCGAAACAAAATCTAGAGAATACTAGCATGCTTGCGTATAAACAATTCAAACAACCTTGAATGCAGGCACCGTATTTATCACACTCTGCCCAAATCTCAACATTGCGCTTGAAGACCCACAACTACCAAAATATGCAAATCCAGTTATAAATCACAGGTGTTCTTCAATTAGAAAGCTCTAGAATCATGATATGGACCTAAGTCTCCCACGAGACATAGGAAATGCACTATTCATTCAACTTGTGGGGAATCCTTAGTGGGATGTGGCACAAGAGGTTTTGACAATTTCATCTCTGATAGGGTTTAGAATTTCATTCGGCGATTTTAGTTGAATGAGTAGTGCATCTCATGTGTCTCGTGGAAGACTTAGGTCCATAGTATAATTCTGGACTCTATATGCTATCTGGTAGTAGAGCGTTGCTACATATGTATTTTCTACTTATGGAAGATTTGTAACTTGATTTGCATATTTTGATAAAGTTGTAGGTCTTCAAGCGATTGTTTAAATTGTTCCTATGGAAATATGTTGGTATTCTCTATATCTCGTATCAAGTAAAAGGACTTTTGCCACTACGGTAGACTTTTTCTTCCATGAAGGATCAACACCAACCGTATTGCTCCATAATATAGATGGTGTAGCCATGAGGTCTCAATTGGTGAATCATCCATTTGTTAAAGCAGAGAGTGATCATCTTCTTTGTTTCCGTTGTTGAAACCAAATATTGCTCCATTTGTGACGCTAGAATCAGCTCTCTTGCACCATGTTTGCTTTGACCAAATAATTATTTTATGACTTTTGGGAAAGTGGAATTCAGTTTCGTGAAGAATTTATATGAATTGAATAAGGTAACTGGGTGATTGAGATTTTACTATTTCGACTCACATATTCTATTTCATAAAGGTAATCTATTTCACTAGAGGTTAATTTTATAAAAAGAGTTGGGTTTATTAGAAAAGATATAATTTCAATGGTGTATATTGAGACCAGAGACCAAGAAATAATGCTTTATTTCTTATCTATTCCTTGAAATAATATTAAACTAAGAATTGTTTTTTATTTTATATTAGGTGCTAAGAATATTGAGAAAGCATGCATGAGGTGTTTTAGCTCTATAACTAAGGCAATACTTTTTTGAGTCTCAAAGTACTTTGACCATTATGGCCTCATAAGTTTTCATCGATATTTTTTCTTCTTAATTTAATAGGATTTCTGATGTGGAGAATCCACTAAGTGGCAACCACAGAGCATACTTCCCATACTAGCTTATGGATGAAAACAACAACAACTTGTATGCATAATATTCCTTGGAAAGATAAAATCTAAAGCTTAGACTGTCATTTCTCTGATGCCTTATAAACACATAGTGAGTACAAGGAAGGAGGGTCATTAGGAATAAATATGTATTAAAAGAATATTTAAGAAAGGAAATAGATGATAATAAAAAATGGAAACTATTTTCGACCAAAAAAAAAAATGGAAACTATATTGAACACTCAGATATTACAAGAACCTTCAAACTCTCATAAACTCACTTGGCTTATTCTATCCTTCACCCAAACTCCCTTATTTAGATGTTGATTGGTTCACCGTCTGTAACGTTTGCGATTGGTAGTAGTAAGTGGTGTTTCATAACAATCATATAAATTTCTTTAAACTGTTCAGTATCGTTTTATACCATTGAAATCCAAAAGCTGCTTACGCAAGCATTTGCGGTTGTGGGCGGTAAAGGATGGGTAAAAAAAAATCACGCTAGAAAAAAAAAAGAAAAAAAAGATCATGTTAAAAAAAAATATGAAATTCTAACTCTACTGTATAATCTCTTATATATATAAACCCTAACCCTACCACTTTTTCTATCAAGTTCTAGTCTTCGTACCCTAATCATGGTTTCCATACCAGTTAAAGAAAGTCAAAATACAAGAGTAAGTGTCATAATATTTTGAAGAATTAGATCTATTGAAAAAATTTTATATCAGGCATATGATAAACCCTGAAGATCCACGTATTTGAACAAAAAATTTCCGATTTGTTATATTACTGGACAAAATTTTGGGTAATGTTCCCAACAACTGAAATAAAACATATCATTATAAATTTATCAGTTTTGAATAATTATTCAG